ATTTTTTTTCCTGCCTATTCACCCGAACCAGCAGGAAAAAAATGCTTTAAAAAAGGGGGGGGGAAGCTTCCGACAATCCCGCGGCTCACAGCTGAGCCGCAATTCTTGGATTTTTTTTTTTTTTACTACCAGTTCACAGAACCAACAACAATCATCCCTACCGGTTCAGCCGAACCGGGAGGATTTCACCCGTGGTACTGCATTCAGTTTTGGTCACCACACCAGCAGGTTCTGACCATTTCTGGAGAACCGGTAGCAGAAATTTTGAGTAGTTCAGAGAACCGGTAAATACCACCTCTGGATGGAGATTTTACAGTATCCTTCCCCTGCCATGCCCACCAAGCCACGCCCACAGAAGTGGGAGTAAAAAAAATTGAATCCCACCACTGCACCACACTATAAAAAAGATGTTGAGACTCTAGAAAAAGTGCAGAGAAGAGCAACCAGGATGATTAGGGGACTGGAGACTAAAACATATGAAGAACGGTTGCAGGAAGTGGGCATGGCTAGTCTAGTAAAGAGAAGGACCAGGGGAGAGAGGATAGCAGTGTTCCAATATTTGAGGGGCTGCCACAGAGAGGAGGGGGTCAAGCTATTTCCCAAAGCACCCAAGGGCTAGACAAGGAATAATGGATGGAAACTGACCAAGGAGAGATTCAACCTAGAAATGAGGAACTTTCTGACAGTGAGAACAATCAACCAATGGAACAGATCAGAAGTTGTGGGAGCTTCATCACTGGAGGCTTTCAAGAAGAGATTGGACTACCATTTGTCAGAAATGGTGTAGGATCTCCTGCTTGAGCAGCGGGTTGGACTAGATGACCTACAAGGCCCCTTCCAACTCTGTTAATCTGTTATACATTTGTCACCTCCTGGGCTCTGGGGTTTCTGCACTCACTTCCAGACAAAGGACTGAACCTGGGCGGTTTAAGAAGAGACCCTTCTCTTTGTGATGTTGCAAAACCCCCATCAGTGCATGAGTACTGGCCAGGAACTGGTATATCTAGCTGTGGGCCAGAAATACTTGAAAAATATTAGGGGACACTTGCAGCTCTCTGGGAGTCAAACAGGCTTCCCGGAGAGCTGCAAGTGTCCCCTAGTATTTTCAACTATTTCTGGTCCATGGCTAGATTTACCAATCACTCATGCACTTGTTGGAAGAAATACCTATCTGGTTCAGTTCCAAGCAGGGAGAAACTTGGAGGCTGGTTGGAAAGATGGTTTAATGATGAAGCAGAATCACCAAAGCACATGGTTCTCTGGTGCAGCTGACCACATGGAGTTGAAAGTGGGGTTTTTTTTTATACCTCCTCTTGGGCTTTGCACTTCAGCTTCCTGTTCCTGTGCAAGAACATGTATCCTATTGGCTGTTTTCAGACTCCCACGGGGCCATGTACAAATCCTTCGTCTGAGCTAAGTTTGGTTGAAGTTTCTGAGGGTGATGCAATGAAGGGGTGTTGGGCAATTCCTATTGTGGCTGAGGGCTAATCCTACCTTGGCTGGATCTTGGGTGAGGGCATTTGCTTATGAATAGAGCCACCTATCTCTTTATCTCTTAAGTGCTGACATCTGCTGAGAGCCAATAAGAAAGGTAGGGGCTGCTTTTCAAGAGCATCTTTCTCCATTTCTCATCCAGGGAAATATAATATTCTGCCTTTTTAAAAATATTTCTCAAAATATTTCATTTTTCTAGGAGAGGGGCGGGTGCTAACTTTCTACACACTGATTAGGCTGTTGTTGTTTTGCAATGTCAGAAATGAAAAGGTCTCAGGCTCAGAGCCCTGATAAAAGGCAGGATCGTGCCCATTCCAGTCTTCTAGCTTTGCTAACCGCTGTAGGATTAGGTGATGGAGTTTCAGGAGGAGAGCTTTGCTCACTTCGGGAAGCCTCTAGATCAGGGGTGTCCAAACTTGGGGACTTTAAGACTTGTGGACTTCAACTCCTAGAAGAATTCTGGGAGTTGAAGTCCACAAGTCTTAAAGTTCCCAAGTTTGGACACCCCTGATCTAGATATTTGGGAGCTGAACTCCCCTCACAGCTGTGCTACTTGGGGATTGGTAAGAATTCCTGGCCGGCGGAGGGAAGCGTTGGAATCCAGCAACTCCGGCGGGCGCTCAGTTGGAGAAGAAGCCGGGCGAGCGTCTCTCAACCTTCACCTGCTGGCGCCAGGAGTGGGCGGGGCGTCGCAAGAGCCCGGCCCCAAATCCAAGCCCCTCCCTGTGGTGTACAGGTGTTGGGGCGGCAACCCGACTCCTCCCCTCTTTTCCAATCTCCCCACCCTCCGGATTGAAGGAGCAGCAGGTGCATGGCGCCCACTACGAAACAGCATCCGGACTGGTCCGCGTGGAAGGAGGCACTCTGGGTATGCTCAGATACTACCCTCACCATCTCACACACACACACACACACACACACTCCTCCCAGTCATACATAGATGATGCCATTCCTGTCTCAGAATTCTTATTTGTATCATCGATCGCCGTTGTGGCTGTTACTACCGGCCTTACTATTATTTCCTATTTTAAGTCTGGGATTTCCCGTCTGTTCTTCCCCTCCTCTCCCTCTCCACGGGCTCATAATCCTGCGTGTGTGTTATTTTTCTACGAGAGCTCGCCATCCTACGCGAGGCTCCTTCTCTATGGAAACCAAGCAAAGTCATACGGGCAAAGGCATGCAACGCGCACGCACACACACAACAGAGTCGTAACTCTCCACCATCCCTACTACCTCCTCCCCCTCTGCGCCCCCCCACAAATCAATCCGAGCCCCCTCCCCTTCGCCCCTTTGTGCTGAACCCTGCAGCAGCTGGAGGAAAGACCGACATGCACGCACACAGACACACACACAAGCCATTTTGCTCGGCAGAGGGAAGGGCGGGTGAGAGAGAGAGCTTTCCAAGCTCCTTCTGGTGAAGGGTGGGTGGGTGGGTGGGGTGCAGGTGGCCATTCTTGGACTCCCAAGTGGAGATCTCCCCTCCCTTTCACACGCTCCCCCCTCTCTCTCCCTTGCGTTTTGTGTGTGTGTTAAAACTGCTGGATTTGCTCTTCTCCGAAGAGAGAAGTGTGGTGGGCGAACTAACCTTTAAGGCAAGGGGGGAAAAAGCAGCCCGCTCCCCAATAATTTGAGCCGAGAAGGGCATGGGGAAAATGCTACTCTGCCCCCTCCAGCAGCCAGAAAGGTGAGACGATTGGGGAAAGGGTCCAAGCTGGGGAAACACCCCCTTCCTCCTGTTTCCCAGTTGGGGTGCATCGCAGATGTCGGGCAGGTATGTTTCATTCATTCATGCCTTCTTTCTTTCTTTCATTCATTCTACCTTTCCCCTCCCCTCTCTCTCTCTCTTTTCCTTTTATCCATTGCACATCGTTTCCCACCCTGGGTGCTCTTGGGGTTCGGCGGCTCACTTCCAGACAAAGGGCTGGACTTGATTTGGTGATGCTTCTTGGTGGCTGGGAGCACCCCAGAAACACAAACCAACGAGGCATGCACCCCCACTTCACCGTTCCATTAACCCCTAGCAACAGCCATGTTTCTGGAGGCTCGGAGCCTTTTCGGAGAATTCATCGGGGAGACGCCAGAAGGAAACACGCTTCCATTTTTTACATGCCTGTTCTATCTGGCCCCATCCAGCATTCGGGTTAATTTTGGGGGAGGGGGGGGGAGAAGAGAGAAATGGTTTTAAAAAGCACCCTCTTATTTCAGCGTGATGGAATGCCATCAATCATTCATTGATCCTCTCAACAGTTGCCACTCAAAGGAGAGACGGGGGTGGGTGGGTGGAGGGAGGCAGGAAGAGAAGGAAGGGCATTTAACGGATGTGGGGGAAACATCTTTGCTCTGTCTTGACCACTTTAAAGCAGCTGCCAACACACAAACACACACACACACACACACACACACACACACACACACACACACACACACACACGGATTTGGAAATTCTGTGCCTTGGAACTGTTACATGACCGGGATGCTTTTGCTGGCTCTTTTTTGTTGTTGTTGTTAAAGTTTTCCAAAAGGCACCGGACAGAGCAAATGCAAAGTAATCCAGTGTCATCCATCAGCTGTCATGGTTAAATGGATCCTGCGTGTATAGAAGCAATATATCGGGGAGTACAGGTGGTAGGAATGGTGCACATGGCTCAGCCTTTCTTTGTCCAACGGCTCCTGTTGCAAACAAGATGTTGATATTAGAGAGAAATGACTAAAATTAGAGATTCTCCCCACATCGTTCTCTTCCGGCAAAAAAAACCCGCTGTTATGGATCATTTTTTTAGCATGCTTAACTTGTCTTTGCTTTGACCATAGCGGGAAATTGGTAATATTTTTCAGAGCTGAGCATGGAAGGCTGAATCATGTCTACTGTCTCGTGTACCCCATAACTAAACATTAATTGAAACTCTAACATAAATAATTAAAAAGGAAATCAAGACATTGGTGGACTGCTTTCTTGTCTCGCCAAGTTTCAACTGAGATCCAGGATGGGTCGAAACTGGGTTTTATTTTTTTTCTTAAAACAAGAATATGTATTCAGAGCCTTCAAATTTTCACTGATGATTCAACGTTCATTTCTGTAGAGAACTAGACATGACAACATCTGTATCGTTCGCATTCTATGTATATGAAGCACATTCTTCCTATGATGCTGTAACCAAACTTAACTTTAAAAGGGACGAATTCAAATGAAGATTTCTTCCTAAAGCTTTGGCGAGATTGCAGCTTGGGACTCAGGCACATGGTTTGGCTGCACCAGATGCTTAAAAGGTCCTCCAGCTAAGCAAGGTGTCAGATTGGAGGATCAGAAAGATTCTCTCTTGGAGGATTGCTAGAATTGCTACTGTCGGCCCACCTGTTCCACTGTCAAACTATCATCATCATTCCAGACAAGTGGCATGGTGTGTGATAGGAACTGTAGTTCAACTGATCTAGTGTAACGTTCCCGTGGTTCGTCCATGAGGCCAATGTGGAGAAAAGACAGGACACGATCTTTCTCGGGATGGAGCGACCCAGATTGGGGGTCTGAGAGCCCCTT